CACCTGTGTTGCGGGGGAGCATATGTATTTAGGATAGTTAGCTCTTCCTGTTGGATTAATCCTTTTACCATTATGTGGTGTCCTTCTTTGTCTCTTTTGATCCTTGTTGGTTTGAAATCCATTTTATCAGAGACTAGGATTGCAATCCCTGCTTTTCTTTGTTCTCCATTTGCTTGGTAAATCTTCTTCCATCCCTTCATTTTGAGTCGGTGTGTGTCTTTGTATGTGAGATGGGTTTCCTGAATACAGCACACTAATGGGTTCTGACTTTTTATCCAGTTTGCCAGTCTGTGTCTTTTAATTGGGGTGTTTAGGTGATTTACACTCAATGTTACTATTGTTATGTGTGGATTTGATCTGGCCATTTTGTTACTGGCTGGTTTTCTTTCCCATTAGTTGCCTCATTTTCTTCATTGCATTTTTGGTATTTGTCAACTGGTTTGCTTTTGCAGTGACTGGTACTCGTTCCTTTGCATGCTTAGTGTTTCTTTCAGGAGCTCTTGTAGGGCAGGTCTGGTGGTGACGAAATCTCTCAGTAATTGCTTGTCCATAAAGGATTTTATTTCTCCTTCACTTTCAAAGCTTAGTTTGGCTGGATATGAGATTCTGGGTTGAAAGTTATTTTCTCTAAGGATGTTGAATATTGGCCCCCACTCTCTTCTGGCTTGTAGGGTTTCTGCTGTGAGTCTGATTGGCTTCCCTCTGTGGGTGACCTGGCCTTTCTCTCTGACTACTCTTAGCATTTTTTCTTTCATTTTTATTTCATTGAGTTGATCTTCAATCTCTGATATCCTTTCTTCTCCTTGATCGATCTGGGTATTAAAACTTGTGTTTGCTTCATGTAGTTCTTGTGCTGTGTTTTTCAACTCCATCAAGTTGTTTATGTTCTTCTCTATGCTGGTTATTCCAATTAGCATTTTGTCTAACCTTTTTTCAGGGTTTTTGGTTTCTTTGCATTGAGTTAGAACATGTTCCTTTAGCTCAGGAATGTTTTTTATTAGCCACCTTCTGAAGCCTGTTTCTGTCAATTTGTCGCACTCCTCGGTCAAGTTGTGATTCTGTGTTGTTGAGTTGTGATGCCTTGAAGGAGAAGAGGTTTTCTGGTCTTTGATGGTTTCATCTTTTTTGTGCTGTTTTTTTCCCATCTTTGTGGATTTACCTGGCTGTGGTGTCAGGGAGCTGCTTGATGAGGTTGCTTGTCTGCCTGGGGGTTCATCCACCATCTCCTATCGCTTCATCTTCCAGGGCTCTTTTGCTTTCTCTAGCCGGTGATCAGGTATGGCTTAGAGACAGCAATACCCAGGAGGGCCAGGTTTCTGTAGTTTTCTAACATCACATGCCTATATTATGCATTCTGCTGTGCAGTGTCCAGGCACTGCCATTCCTTCAGAGATAATTCTATGGCCACATCCCTAAATGTTAATGGTTCAATTTCTAGGCTTCCAGGGGATCCTGGCATCTTAGCTGTGGATCTCCAATATCTTCAGGTCACAGGGCCACACAAGGTGGGCGTCTAGGAGAACAGCACACAGAAGTGAAGACGAGATCCCGAGCTGCGGCTCTTCAAAATTTGTTTATTGGATTAGATTGTGAATTTCTTTTGTTGTTGTTGTTATTTTGAATTTTGCTGAGCTTTTTTGAAAGGTTATGTATCTCTGTCACTCAGGATTTGCACACTAGTGCCTTATTTAGTTCATTTGATGAGGTTGTGTTTCCCTGAATAGTCTCAATTTTGTGGATGTTCATTGATGTCTGGGCATTAATGAGTTAGGTATTTATTTTAGTCTTTGCATTCTGGGCTGTTTAATACCTGTTCTTCTTAGAAAGGCTTTCCAGGTATTCAAAGGGAATTGAGTGTTGTAATCTAAGTCTTTGGACATTGCAGTCACAGCTGCATTAGGGGACACCCCAACCTGAATAGCACTCTGATACTTGCAGGCTTGTAGAGGTACCACTTTGCTGGTCTTGGTAAGATCCAAGAGTGTCTCTGGGTTAGGTTACCAGGCAGACTCCTTTTCTTTTCTTTCTTTCTTTCTTTTTTTTTTAACTTTCTGCCAAGTAAATGGAATCTCTTTCTCTCTCCATGCTGAGCTGTCTGGAACCGGGGCTGGTGTAACACCAGTACCCCCGTGGCCACCATCACTAGGACTATACTAAGTCAGGCCCAAAGCCAGCACAGGAGTAGGTCTCACATAAGCTCCACAGTGACACCACGTAGCTACTGCTGATGTTCGTTCAAGACCCAAGTCTCTTCAGTCAGGAGGCGATGAATGCAGCCAGCGTCATGTCCTTTCCTTCAGGGCAGTAAGCTCTGTTACCCACCCTGGGCTGGGGGTAGCAAAATGCAATTTGGTAGCAAGAACATGTCATTGGGTAGCAAGAACAGAATAGGTCACCTTGGGAGTCTACTTGGTGCCCTATTCTGCTGTGGCTTAGCTGACACTGAGGCTATGAGACATCCTTTCTACTCTTTTCTCAAGCATAAGAAGCCACTCTCCATTGCCATCACCACCGAGAGCCCACAGCAAGTATTGCCAGGCTACTGCTGCTATCCCCTGAAGACCCGAGGATCTTCGGTCAGCGTGTCGTGAACTCTGCCAGGTCTGCTGCTTTTGCATCAGGGCAGTGGGTTCTTCTCTGGCCCAGGGTGGTTCCAGAAATGTCATCCAGGAGCCAAGGCCTGAAATCAGGGACCTCAGGTGCCATCTTGTTACTGCTACCCCACTGTGGCTGAGCTGGTAATGAGGCTTCCAGACAAAGTCCCCTGTACTCTTCCCTCTCTTCCTCAAGCAGGAGTCTCCCCACATGGCTGCCACAGCTTGGATTCCACTGCACTGGGTCTTAGCCCACAAGGGCTGCAGCAAGTACTATCTGGTTACTGCTGATGTTTATTCCAGGCCCAAGGGCCTTTTAGTCAGCAGGTGTTGAATCCTGCCAGAGCTGATATCTTCCCTTCAAGGCAGCATGTTCTCTTCTGGCCCAGGCTATGTCTAAGAACTAAGCCCTAGAATGGGGGCCTCAGCACTTACTCTGGTGCTCTGTTCTACTGTGGCTGAGATGATATCCAAGTTGCAGGACAGAGTCTTTACTCTTCTCTCCCCTCTCTTCAAGTAGAAAGAAATATTTTCTTTTGGAGCTGTGAACCACACTGCCTGTGCCTGGGGTCAGGGGGATGCATGCACTCTCTTGGCCATCCCAGTTGGCATCTCACAAAGTCACATGCACTTCAAGCTTTCTGACTCTGAGCTTAGCAAAGCCCCAGGAATTGCAGTCCCAGTGGCTTAGACTGCCTTTCAAGTTTATTTAGATCCCCAGAGTACTTTAGCCATGGTGGTGGGGCTACATGAAACTCAGGTTTTGACCACTGAAATGGACACTTTCTCTCAACTAAGCTAGCCTGAGTGCTCCCCCTGTGGGCACTAGCTGAACTCTGCCCCGTGTTGCTTTCTGCTATGACAGACAGCACTGAGTTTTACTGCATAGTCTCAAAATCACTGCACTCTCCCTCTGTAAGCACACAGATTCTCTCTCTGCCAAGCTGCACTTCAGGGAATGGAGGAGGGGTGCTGTTGGCAGGTAACAGCTTTCTTTTTTACCCTCTTTAGTGCCTCTTGATGTGATGCTAAAACTTGGTACTGTAATCACTTCCCAGAGTTTTGGTTGGATAGTCATTCTATTTGGTTTTATCTGGGGGTTGGTTGCTGGAGGGTGCTATTTAGTCATCTGGCTCCACTTCCCCCTCTGCAGCTATGTTGTTTGAATTAAGTGCCACATGTGAGGCTAACGTGAGCCCAGGCTTAACCATGACTGCTTTCATATACATTTACAAGAGGTGAGTTTAGCTTTAGTTCCAAATGATGAAGATCATAGAGACTGCTCTGCTTGGGTTTGGTAGGGGCAGATCAGTGCCTCCCATATTCCCACTGCTGCAGTAGAAATTGCTGGCATCTATGGCAGAGAAGGGCAACTGAATGTTGGAAAGGAGAAACTCAAATTTTGGTTTTTATATAGGAGTTTACTGGTTGTGAACCTCTCCTATGATAAAGGACACACAAAGGCAGTCTTTATCTGCAGTTCTAGGTCCTTCTGCCTGTGGGTGTGGTGGTTTCAAGGGATATGAAACTGATGTTTCTTTATGACAAGACTCAGATTAAGTTGACCGTTTTTTGTGTTAATGTTTATAATAGCACAGTAGTGTTGTATCCTTTGTTAATCAGCACATGACACAAATATCTTTTAATAGAGTTGATTTTATTTACTTGGTAAATATGCTCTCTGACATATTTCTCACTGCAGAGTTGTTTTCCTCTTTATTATTAAGAGGTACCTTGAGGAGTTTGATCAAGTGTTATGCAAAAACAAGATTAAGCCACATTTAATCTGATAGCTCTTCTTTCTTCTTATTTTCTCTTTGCATATAGCTTGCTCTGGAAAATGAAGCCTCTCATCTTTCTTTACTGGTCAAATAAGCTAAAAACCTACGCTGTACCACTTTCTGAATTTTTGACAAAATACTCTTCTTGGGCCAGAAGCAATGATAGATATCACCGGCAAACTTCTTAGAAATTTGGAGACTCAGGCTTTACCGTAGATCTTCAGAGTCAAAAGCTGTGTCTTAAGGTGTCCTGTTTGTTGCTGTACACAGTAAGGTTAGAGAAGTATCCTAACTCACCATGAAGTTTCCATATGGGAACTATAGACAACTTATCCTGTATTATGTAAACACAGCATTAAGAAATGTACATAATCTGTGTTAATGTTCTTTATTTTATACTGTATTATCAAGAAAAATGTTGCATATACACTGGTTTCGTGATCTTATGCCATCTTTTCTCAGAGTTAAAGATACATTACAGATTATTTCTGTCCTAGGAAGTATCCTATTGGATAACAGCAGTAACTCATATAAGTCAGAACTACCTCTCTTTACTCTCATTTTACCTGATGTCAAGTGAAGAATTCATTCTATGGCCACTTGGTAAATATGTTTTGTTTTTCAGGGAGTGTTAACATTCAGGGATGTGGCCATAGAATTCTCCCCTGAAGAGTGGCAGTGCCTGGACTCTGCTCAGCAGCATTTGTATAGGGATGTGATGTTAGAGAACTACAGAAACCTGGTCTCCTTGGGTGAGAATAACTTTGATATACAACTCATATTCTACATTAAATATTTTATTTTATGTTTGTCTGTTTGTTTGTTTGTTTTGGAGGTCCTGCTTTGCATAAATGAGTTTCAGAATCCTGCTTCAAAAAAGAAAGAAAATTGGCTATCTGTTGAGGTAGAAAATATAATCTTGAAGATGTTTCATCTTAACATTAATCTTTCCCATTTTTGAACTCATCTGCATACCTCAGTCTAAATTAGTGGTAATATCAGAAATTTAGTAGTGTAAAATATCGTTACACCTAAAAATGCAATTTTCACAACTGATTTTTGGTTCAGTATTACTGAATAATAGAGCTAAGAACCCACCAATTTAATACTTTCTAAATATTCCAAAGTTTCTGTTAGGAAACAGTAGATTGGAATTAATTTTCTACAGCCTTCTATAATGTTCTCTCTTCTCTACTGAGCACAGTAATAGACTGGTCATCGGATTATCCTAGCAAGAGTCATGTTATTTTTTTCTAATGAAACAGGTCTTGCTATCTTTAAGCCAGACTTGATTACCTGTCTGGAGCAAAGAGAAGAGCCCTGGAATTTGAAGAAACAGGAGACAGTAGCCAAACACCAAGGTAGGTGGGAGTGAATGAAGCAAATGACACAAACGATGGTTCCTAATGTGTAACATGCTTCCAGAAGCTTTCCTCCTACGGAAATCATTTCCGAGAAGCCTTCGTTTTTTCATAGGGGCATTTTTTTTGTCCTATTCTTGTGAATTTTCTAAGCACTATACTCCCCCTTTAGTAGTGTGTGGGGTTTTTGTTTTCTGTTTTGTTTTGTCTGTTTATTTATTTATTTTTTTAGTTTACAGTGATTATGAAAGTATTTTTCATGGCTTAAAAGAAAATGTGTGATTTGACTGCTTTTCCATTGCTTTGGGGGAAACAGCAATATCTGTATTTTTTAGAAACTGTATATTTTAAACCATTTTTTAAGTTCTCTTTCTGGATACTGTCTGTGTAAGTTTTGGTGATATTACAATTTGGATCAGAAATCCCAGGAACACCACAAAAAGATGTATGCTTCCTGGTTTATAATTTTCTATTCTGTGGAGTCTTCAAATTTGATTTTATAGAAATTTAGATATCAAAATGCTAAGCATCTCCGTAAATGAAACAAACTGTAAAATTGTGTTACTTCAAAATGTTATTCTTTTCATATAAACAAATGTTGGTAAATATGGCCAAATTCCTCAACTGTAATATAGTTCAATTTATCTACTTCATACATTTATTAACTATACTGTGTCACTGGGGAGCTGAAAACCTTGCTGAGTACATATTAAACTCTCAATTTTAACTTTATTTTAAATGACATCATGTAATATTATTTAGTATAAAGCTTACTGTGACTGTCATTCATAAGTATATATATAAATGTCTATATATAAAATGTAAATACATATATATACAATCCCAGTAATGTGACTTTTTTACAAATTATTGAATACCTATATATTATATATGATGTATTAATTTTGTATGTGTATACATAATGAACAAATACATTACATACTTACCTTTTTTGTAGTGAGAACAATTAAGATCTCTTAGTAGATTTTCAGCATACATAACAGTATTACTTTCTATAGTCATAAAGCTGTACCTTAGGTTACCATAACTTACTTGTCTTATAACTGAGAATTTGTACTATTTGAACAATATATCCCACTTTTCTCACCTCTAGGGCCTAGTGCTCACCTCCATACTCTCTTCTTCTAGGAGTCCAACCTAACTATATTCTCCATAGAAGTAAGATCATAGAGTATTTGCCTGTTTCTGTCATGTTTCACTTAGCATAATGTCATCTAGGTCCATGTTGTAGAAATGTCAGGGTTCTATTATTTATTATGGCTGAATAATATTTTGTGTATATACTATGTTTTCTTTGTGCAGTCAGTTTTTACAAACACTTTAGATTTTTTTTTATATCTAATCAATTGTGAAAAATGCCTCATGAACATGGAGGTGTAGGTATTTGAGATAGTAAGTTTATTGTATATACAGAAATGAGATAGCTGAATTGTATAGTAGTACTATTAAAAATTTCTCAAAGGAACCTATATACTGGTTTTCATAATGTCTCTAAAAAATAACCCATCACCAAGGGTGTACAGCATTTCTTTTCTTAAATATATTCTTGCCAATACTTCTTAAAGGTCTTCTTTTTGATGCTAGCAATCGTCACAGGTATAGAGTCTCATTATGAATTTGATTTGCATCTGCCAGTTTGGTGACATTGAGCACCTTTCTATTTACCCGTTGCCCAATTGTATGTTTTCATTAGTAAATGTTTCTTTAGTCCTTGGCTTATTTTTAAGTCTTGTTATTATTATTATTATCATAGTTGTTGTCTTTTATTTGTATGAGTTTCTTATATATTTTTGGTATCATTTACTAGATAGGGTTTTCTTCTTCTGTTTTTTTCATGGTTGTGCAGAAGCATTTTAGTTTGATACACTTTGTTTATATTTGCTTTTATTGCTGTACTTTTGCTGTCATATCCACAAATTCATTTTTAAGACCAATATTAAGGTTTCTATGTTTTCTTTTAAGATTATTGAGAATTTATGTCATACCTTAGAGTCTTCATTTTATATATAATTTTTAAATATAAGAAAAATGGTTAATTTTATTATTTACTTGTGGGTATTCAGTTTTCCCAGTCCCAAGCATGGAAGAGACTGTACTTTCTGCATTGTATATTATCGGTGTCAAAGATTAGTTGGTCTTACATGGATGGATTTGTTTCTGGGCTCTCTGTTCTGCTCCACTGATACTGGTGTGCATTTTTATGCACAGATAATTTTGTTTTATTACAATAGTCTTCAAATGTAGTTTAAAATCAGGCAGTATAATGCCCCTAGCTTTATTTTTAATCCTCAAAACTGCTTTGGCTATTCAAAGTTTCTTGCAATTTCATATAAATCTTAAGATTGCATTTTCTATTACTTTGAACATTTTATTAAAATTTTAATAGGCATGTATTGAATCTAAATTTTCTAATTTTATAGACTGATTTCAGCAGGTTAAAATCTTCTCTTGGGTCAGTTAGCTGACCGAATCCTTTTGCAGTGGAGAGGGGTTATATGTGGGTCACATAGTTGCTTCTTGATCTATTGTGGAGTTTGCCTGTAGTCAGCTTGTTACCAGTAGCCTGTGTAGTTGTTAATCCTCTCTCATTTCTGGACAGACTGAATTGCCTTTAGGACTTTGATCTGTAGGGCCAGCACTAGGGCAGTGTTCTGCAGTAGGGTTGGTATATGGTGGGCCTGATATGAGGTCTATGGATGAGTGTGTTTCTTACTGAGGCAGGATTTCCCCAGGTCACTCTGTGGGAACCTAGGTTGGCAGAACTGGCCACAAACTGACTATCAGTGCTGAAACTGAGTCATCTGAACTGTTTCAGAGAGCACAGTAAAGGCCAAGGTCTGCAGACCTACTGCTGTAACCACAACTAGGCATCTTTCTCTGGGTCTCTGGATGGGCAGAACCACTCCTAGGCTATGGCTGGAAGGAGCTTGAGATGGTTATGAAGTCACTGCAGAATTTTTAAGTGGGGTCAAAATAGGTGAACCATTTCTTGGTCTGTAGCCAGGACCAAGGGTTTTCAAGTTTGCCACCTGAATTAGAGCCTGCCTTTTAAAATGACTCCAGTCAGTCTTTAGCTCTAGCAGGTTTTAAAACCCTCTCCCTGAAAAACCGAATTATTATTATAAAGGTCTCTTCTTTGAGAAGGGGTCTCACCATGTCACCCAGGCTGGTCTCAAACTCTTGGCCTAAAATGATTCTTCTTCTGCTTCAGCCTACCAAGTTGCTAGGTTTGCAGGTGGGAGTGACCATGTCTGTCAACATAATGGACTTCATGTAGTGTTCTTATAGGACTGTTCTAGGGGTAATTACGACCACCCTTAATTTTCATATTTGAAAACTCTTTATTTTTTTATTTTTAAAGTAAATTTCTCCCAGATTGCATTACCTGACAAAGATGTCAAAATAATGATACTAAGTATGCTCAATAATAAACATAGAACAAAAAAAAAGAACACAGTAGAAATTGTGCAGTATTCATTACCTTGAACTTTGGGAAGTTCTTAGTGAGTCTTTTTTCTTCAAATAACCTCTCTACGACTTTTCCTCTGCAGCCTTCTTCAAAGACTACTTTCATGAATATATTGTTCTCATTAATGGCATCTAATAAGTTACATATGCCATGTTGATGTTTTTCTTTTTGTTTCTCATGACTCAATATTTATAAATAATATGTCTTTAGTTTTCTGATTATTGTTTCTGGTCATTAATTCTGTTGTGATTCTACAAAATTTTTCATGTTTTTTTTGTTCCACAATTTCTAGTGGTTTTTTTTTCTTTGTTCTATTTTTTTATTGAGCATACTTAGTATTATTTTGACATCTTTGTCAAATAATGCAAAGATTTTTTCTTAAGAATTGAGTTTTGGAAATTTATTTCTTCAAGTGGGGTATGTTTACTTTTTTTTAATGTCATGTGATCCTTTTATAAAATTTGGAAACCTAAAAACAGCCATCTAATCTAATATTTAAAGACTTGCTTAAATAGAGGCTGTAGCAATGAGCCCGGCTATGGATTGGTCAGTGCTTCACAAATGTGTTCTCAGTTATGTTTTCTAGGAGATACAAACTGTAATTCTCATTAGTCCATCATTTCCATATTAAGGGAGACAGACTCTATTAATCGGACAGTCTCCTATAATATCAGAACTTTAAGCAGACCCACTGTTCTATATCTCTTCTGAGAGGAATACTAGGGGTTGCGTTTTACTTAGCCCAATTGCTGTTGAGGGAAAGAAAGGTTGGTAAGTCTTTAAGCTAGACTTGGTTACCTTCTGCAGCATAGAAAATATTACTGGAATGTGAAAGGAGTGGACAGAATAGCCATACACTCAGATAGGTATGAATGGTTTAGCAGATAACACATGTGAAAGGTCCAAAGGTGAAGGAGAAAACAAGAGTTTAAAATGTGCATTTGGGAGGCTGTTCTCCGATGAAATTGATTCTTGAAAACTCTCTTACTGTCAATGGAGGAACATTTTTTGATGTATGCTTATTAGGCTTTTGAGTTTCTAAGTCTTTCACCCATTTAATAATCTGCTGGTGCATTCACAGTGAGAAACAGACTCTTTCATTCTGTGAGGATCTAAATAATAGAACTCCTCTTCTATTGCTTTGAGGGATCTGGAAAATTTGTGCAAATTTTTGGAGATCACTATGTTAAACTGTTTTAAAAAAATCTGTGCCTTATGTTAGACATCTGTGAGAGGATTAGGGGAGACGTTGAGATTTGGTTAAGAGATTTGACAGAGACCAGGGACAGATGTCATATGTTTTCTGTTTTATAATTTCCAATCAATTGATCATACAAAAAATGAAAGTGAGAACTTTTATCAGAGCACAAAGCATCTGATTAAGTACAAGAAAATCTAAACATCTATTTCACTTCAAAGGTATCTTTTTCTTAGTAGGAACTAAGCTTAGAAATTTAAATGCTATATGACAAATGCCTCTACTTGTTCGAATAGTTGATTTTATCTACTCACCTCACAATTGCTAAAAACACTAATACCATAGATTACTTAGAACTGTCCAGCATATAAATTCCAAATTGTTACCTATTTATTAATAACTATTTTTTTTAATAATTTTATCTTCTTTACTATGAAGATTACTAGGGCTATGTCTATGTATTTTTTCTTTCTGATTTACTGTATGTCAACTATGCCTGTAATTTCATAAGTTCTGAGGTAATGTGCTCAGATGTATATGTTATGTAAAATGTGAATTAATAGGCACATCACATATATTAAAATCTTTGATTTATATGTTTAAGTTTACTGCATACAAAAAGCTATTAGTATTTTTCTCAACTTTTCTCAAGCCTTGTCTACATGATCATATAAATTTATTTCTAATTGTTCATTTTATTTTATACCATATTGTACAGTATTGATGTTGTTTATATGATTTAGTGATGTAATGCTTTGCTTTGCTTCCAAAGGTTGGCTTATTGCCTTTACGTTTTGTGCAAAAAATAGCAGTTGTATGTTAATGACATAATATGTCTAGTGTTATTTAAATGCTTATTTCTTCATACTTTCTCATCAAAGCTTTACTAAATGATTATAATGCATTTTCTATAAAATGTTACCGCTTTCACTGTATGGTAGTGATTCAAACTTTATTGTCTTCAGTAGCACGACATGAAATCAACCTAGTTGCCCATCAGTGGTGGATTGGATAAAGAATATGTGATATCTATACACTATGAAATACTACACAGACCCCCAAAATTTTGTTATTTGTAGCAACATTGATGCAGCTCAAAATGTTTTTTTAAGTAAATTAATGCAAAAACAGCCAAATACTGCATGTTCTTACTTAAAAGGGAGAGCTAAATATTGGGTATACATGCATATAAAGATGAAAACAATAGATGTTGGAGACTGCTAGAGGAGGAAGGGAGGAAAGAGACAAGGCCAAAAAAGCTACCTGTTGGGTACTGCACTCTACCTGAGTAGTGGTAGCAGTACCCTAACCTTAGCAGTACATAATATAGCCACGTAACAACGCTAGACATGTAGCCACTGAATATAGGAAAAGGTGAAATTAAACAAAAATGCCAAAATATGTTCTCTTTATAAATGTGCAGTCAGTTAAAAAGCAGGTACTTTTTAGTGTACATTATGTTGATTCAATATTTTTGGTTCATTTTTTTTTGTTAAATTTTGTTCTACCATTTTTTTATTTTAGTGGCTCATGTTTTAGAGTAGGCTATTTTACATTAATTGTGTTTTTAGTTTTTATGTATTGTAATTTTGTATACCAATATTCAACTCTGTATGCATTAAAACAATGTTTGGACAGAAAGTCAGATATGAATCCGTCTTATACATATTGCCAGTATAATTATTCCTGTTTTTTTGCCCATGTAAATATTATTCCTATTTAAGACATGTATATTTGCTTTTTTTGTTTGTTCGTTTAGTAGTCAATGATGGTTTTATTCTCAATTTTAAAAAATACAAGGGCCAAACATGGTGGCTCACACCTGTAATCCCTGCACTTTGGAGGGTGAGGCGGGTGGATCACCTGAGGTCAGAAATTCCAGATCAGCCTGATCAACATGGCAAAACCCTGTCTCTAGTAAAAACACACAATTAGCTGGGTGTGGTAGGGCACACCTCTAATCCCAGCTACTCCTAGAGGCTGAGCCAGGAGAATAACTTGAACTTGAAAGGTGAAAGTTGCAGTGAGCCAAGATTGCACCACTGCACTCCAGCCTGGGCAACAAGAGCAAAACTCCATCTGGAAAAAAAAAAGCATAGCAAAATTTGTAATCTTTAATATTTTCAATTACATAATTCAGCTCTGTTAAATATATTGACATTGTTAGCAACATATCTTTAGAACATTATTTTTATAAAAGAAATATGCTATACAAATGAATCCACTACTCATTTTTCCCATTGTCTGACCCATAACACACATCATTCTATTTTTAAGGATGTAACTACATTAGCTATTCCATGTAAGTAAATTTCTACAGAATTTTTTTGTGTGTGTGGCTGGCTTATTAAATTTAGCATGATGTCTTCAAAATTTTTCTTTATAATATTAGATTTCCTGCTTTTAAAAAGGTGATTAATATTCAGTTTTTTTGTATTTTAAATTATATTTATCCATTCATTTGGTAAGCAAAGTTTAAATTGCTTTTGCCTGTTGGCTTTTGTGGATAATGCTGCAATATGGTGTGCAAATAACTCACTTGGCCATATATGAAAGAGTTTATATCTGTGCTGCATGCTGTATTATTACTTGGATGTTTTACATTTTTACAGTACCAAAGTGCTTTGATTGGTGTAGGTTTGTTTTGTGTTCGGAAATTATTAAGTGTAATCCTTTCAATTTTTTTCTTCTTAAAGATTGTCAAGATTGTCAGGCTTTTCATGGTCCCTTGAGATCTTAAGTAATTTTGTCAGATTTTTTTCTATTTTTGGAAAAGGGAAATTTAAAATTGAAAAGGGTTGTGTTGAATGTGTGGGTCACTTTAATAAGCAGCATGGACTTCTTCACAATATTATGTCTTCCAACCCTTGAAAAAGAGCATTCTCAAAAGTGTGTTGTTTAATTTTTATATTTTTTAAATTTTTCAGCTTTTCTTTTCTTACTGATTTCTAGTTTCATTCTATTTAGGCCATAATTGTTTGTAAAATTTTAATTAAAATTGTTAAGACTTGTTTTGCAGTGTCACAGGTAGTCCATCTAGGAAAATGTTTGATGACCTGTTGGAAAGAAAGTGTATTCTGCTGTCTGTATACATTTGTTACGTATAATTATAGGGCATTCAAGTTTTCGGTTTTTATATTGATTTTCTGTCTCGCTTTATTATTACTGAAAGTGGGATATTGATGTATCCTTCCATTATTATATTGCTGTCTATTTCTGCTTCAATTCTGTCAATGTTTGCTTTATGTGTTTAGGAAAACTAATGTCAGATATATTTATAGGTTCTCAGTGAATGAACCCTCTTACTATAATTGAATGTCTTGTGTCTTGTGAAGTTTGACTTAAATTGTATGAAATATGACAGCTTTTGACTTAATAAGCCTCTTCTCACTTGGTTAACCACTTGCATGTGTATTTTTCATGCTGCCATTTTCAGTCAATTTTTTTTTATTAGATCTGAAGTGAGTCTCTTGAAGATATAACATAGTTAGATCTTGATATAGATCATGTTATAGTTTTATTTTCATCTTGAAGGATACTTTTGCTGGATATAGCATTCTTGCTTAGACATTTTTTTTTAGTGTTTTAACTATGTCATCTTCCTCCCTTCTTGCCTGAAAGATTTTTGTTTATAAATTTACTGGTAATCTTGCAGAAACATGCATATAAATAACATCATGTCTTTTTTCTTTCTGCATTTCAGATTCTCTTCTTGTCTGTGACTTTTCAAAACGTTGTTTATGTTGTCTGTTGTTAGAAATCTCTTTGTGTTAATCATAGTTGAAATTTGCCGAGCTTCTTGATTTTCTTATAGGTTTTACTAATGTTGAAGTGCATGTTAGTCTCGTTTGGTACTTCTCCACAATTTTTTTTGTGTGTGTGCTTTTTATCCTTTTATTGATTGTTTCATTTTCGTTATTTCATTTTGTTTTATTTCCATTTTACTCATTGAGCATTATTGAGATGTTAATTTTGATTTTTTAGGATTTTTAAAAAAATAGATCTAGACTTTAATTCAGATTGTCTTAGGTAATCTTTACATCTCTTAATTTCTAGATATTCCTTTTTATCTTTGAACCATATTATCTTGATGTTTTGTATATGTTGTAATCTTAGGTTGCAATTTGTATAATAAAAAAACCACATATCAAAATTTTTAAGTGGCTCTTCTCTGGGGAATATGATAATCAATTTTATAGACTAGAGATTCTTGGAGTCTCTCAGGCTTGTTCTAGGGATGATTTTTCTGGGCTTGTGTGTTTTTTAGTTAAAAAAGATTCCCCATTTTTTAAAATTATTTTTTCTTTTCTTTTCTTTTTTTTTTTTTTTTTGATTTGGAGTTTCATTCTTGCTGCCCAGACTGGAGTGCAATGGTGTGTTCTTGGCTCAGCACAACCTCCACCTCCCAGGTTCAAGCAATTCTTCCGCTTCCGCTTCCAGAGTAGCTGGGATGACAGGTGCCTGGCACCATACCTGGCTAATTTTTGTATTTTTATTAGAGATGAGGTTTTACCATGTTGATCTGGCTGGTCTTAAACTTCTGACCTCAGGTGATCTGCCCTCCTCAGCCTTCCAAAGTACTGAGATTACAGGCATGAACCACCACTCCTGGCCATTCCCCATGTTTCTTATTGAGGTACTGTAGTCACTTGCTGTACCTATTATCTGTCTGTGACACTGAAGTGTTTCTTCTCTTGTAATGGTCATTTACCTTTGGTCTCAACTGTCCAAAACTGTTAAAGGATACCACTTTTCCTTTCAACACTGTCATGAAACATAGGAATTAATCTTTGGTAAGATCTCAAAAAGCCAGAAGCATGGACACATGTGGCATTATTTTATTTATTTTTGGAGGGGGATTACAGGAGTTGGGAGTCTATTTAAAGTCATCATGGGATGAAGAATGGCTGTGGTGGGTAAATATGAAATATTTTTATTACACTTGTATATGGTTCTTGGCATTTTGCTCATTTGGGGTGCTGTAAATGCTTAACTGGTTCATAGATGTCTCACAAAGGTATTTTGGTATTTCTGTTGTTTACATGTCTGTAAAGGAATTAGAACCCGTGGTATTTTATTGTGTCACCTTATAAATGTGTTTTGTATAATTTTATATTTGTAAAGTGTATGTGCCTGAGTCTAATGAGGGAGAAATTTTGTTGTTCTTTATTTTTTTTTCCAGCTGGCTCTTTTCATTTTACTGCAGAGATATTGCCAGAGCACGACATAAAAGATTCATTTCAAAAAGTGATTCTGAGAAAATACAGAAGCTGTGACCTTAATAATTTACATTTAAAGGAAGACTATCAAAGTGTGGGTAATTGCAAGGGACAGAAAAGCAGTTATAGTGGCCTTCATCAATGTTTGCCAACTACCCATAGGAAAACATGTCAGTATAAGAAATGTGGCAAAGCTTTTGAGTTGTGCTCAATCTTCACTGAACATAAGAACATTTTTAGCAGAGAGAAATACTACAGATGTGAAGAATGTGACAAGGACTGTAGGTTGTTCTCAGATTTTACTAGAAATAAGAGAATTCATACTGCAGAGAGATGCTACAAATGTGAAGAATGTGGCAAAGCCTTTAAAAAGTTTTCAAACCTTACTGAACATAAGAGAGTTCATACTGGGGAGAAACCCTACAAATGCGAGGAATGTGGCAAAACCTTTACCTGCTCCTCAACCCTTATTAAACACAAGAGAAATCATACTGGAGACAGACCCTACAAATGTGAAGAATGTGGCAAAGGCTTTAAGTGCTTCTCAGACCTCACTAATCATAAGAGAATTCATACTGGAGAGAAACCCTATAAATGTGAAGAATGTAACAAATCCTATAGGTGGTTCTCAGACCTTGCTAAACATAAGATTATTCATACTGGAGAGAAACCCTACAAATGTAATGAATGTGGAAAATCTTTTAAGTGGTTCTCAGCGCTGAGTAAACATAAGAGAATTCATACTGGAGAGAAACCCTACATCTGTGAAGAATGTGGCAAAGCCTTTACCCGCTCCTCAACGCTTATTAACCACAAGAGAATTCATATGGAAGAGAGACCTTACAAATGTGAAGAATGTGGCAAAACGTTTAAGTGCTTCTCAGACCTTACTAATCATAAGAGAATTCACACTGGAGAGAAACCCTACAAATGTGAAGAATGTGGAAAGGCATCGAGCTGGTTCTCACACCTCATTAGACATAAGAGAATCCATACTAGAGAGAAGCTCCCCAAGTGTTAAAAATGTGGAAAAACCTTTAACAAGTCATTATCTTGTGTTCAACATCAGAGATTTAATAATGAATGCAGTATAAATGTAAAGTCTGTTGAAGAACATTTAACATCTTGGAGGATCTCTTAAGAACTTGCTTCATAATGTGAGTGCTTTTGTGTTGGGTGCATATGTATCCCTTTACTATTATGCAATGCCCTTGTCTTTTTTTTTTTCCTTTTTCTAATTTATGTTGATTTAAAGTGTGTTTTTTCAGAAACTAGAATTGTGACCCCTCCTTTTTTTCTGCTTTCTATTTGCTTGGCAGATTTTTCTTTTTCCCTTTATTTTGAGCTTTTTTAAGATGGGTGTCTCAATTACAGCAAACCATGGATCTTGCTTCTTTCTTCAGCTTGCTACTATGTTATTTAATTGGGGCATTTAGTCCATTTACATTTAAGGTTAGTATTCATGTGTGTAGATTTGATTCTGTCATTGCGATCTTACCTGGCTATTTGACACATTTGTGTATATGGTTGCCTTATACTGTCAGTGGTTTGTGTACTTGAGTGTGTTTTTGTAGTGACTGATGATAGTCTTTTTCTCATTTAGTGCTTTCTTCAGAAGCTTTTGTAAAGCCAGTCTTGTGGTAACAGATTTCCTCAGCATTTGCTTATCTGAATAGGATCATATTTATTTTTTACTTGTGAAGCTTACTTTGGCTGGATATGAAATTCTGAGCTGGACTTGATTTCAGCTGAAAGGTTTGTTGTTCGATGGGCTTTAAGAGGTGACCTGGCCTCTCTACCTGCCTGTAACATATTTTTTTCTTTCATTTTGACTTTGGAGAATCTCATGATTATGTGACTTGGGGATGACCTTCTCGTGGGTTAGGGTTAGGGGTTCTCCACATTTCCTGCATTTGAATGTTGGCCTCTCTATCTAGGTTGGGGAAGTTCTCACTGATGATATCCTGAAATGTGTTTTTATTCTCCCCATTGCTTTCAGGCACTCTCTTTAATGACAGGTTTGGTTTCTTTATACAATCCCATAATTTTAAGAGGTTTTATTCATTCCTCTTTTTTTTTTCACTATTGTTGTCTGTCTTATTTCAAAAGTAAGTTTTCAAGCTCTGAGATTGTTTCCTCTATTTGACCTATTCTACTGTTAATACTTGTGATTACATTATAAAGTTTTTGTGTTGTATTTTTCAGCTCTATCGGGTTGGCCACATTTTTCTCCAGACTGGCTGTTTTTTTCTGTCTGTTTCTGTAATTTTTTTCTCCCCTCCTTGCATTGGGTTGCAACTTTTGTAGCTCATTGTAGATTTTTTCTATTCATATTCTGAATTCTACTTCTGTCATTCTTAGGCCTTGCTGGAAACATAATTTGGTCATTTGGATGAAAGAAATCATTCTGGTTTTTTGTGTTTTCAACATTTTTGCATGGATTTTGTCTTTGCAGGATTATGTTTGAGGTTGCTGACCTTTGGGGTTTGGGGTTTTTTAAATCCTGTTTGGTTGTCTTGGGTATTTGTGGTATTATAAGGTGGATTCAGCTAACAGGCTTGTTCTTGGGAGTTTTTTTTTGTGTGGTGGTGGTGGTGGTATGGGGGACCAGTGCTCAGCTCACAACTCAGAGGCTGTATACTCTATTTCTGGGGGACTTGTATTGAGCCCCAGCTGTATTCTCTGGCTCCTTGAGATTTGGAGTCTGCAAATCTACCACAGCTGCAGCAGAGCACTAGTGGATATGGGGTTTCTGCCTGTCTTTGGGCATTCACCTCAGTGGCAGACGCAAAGCAGCTGGGAGGGGAGTTGGGGTACCTGCTGGAGACTGTGTGCTATTGCACTAAAGGTGCTGGGGGCAGGATGCTGGCCAGTGAAGGTTTTGGTACCTTCTTTGTGCCCCCCAAGAAGGAGTGATGATGTTCAGTGTGTGGGAAGATACCCTGTTCTCCACACAGTGTTAGCACAAAGGCAGGGGTGGGACTTCCTCTCTGCTCACCAAAGCTTCATCTATAATGGCAGATGCTGTGGGTGGCGGGGGCATACTGTGTTCCCATTTGCTGATGGGGCAAGCAAAGCCAAACCTCCTTTGCAAACATGTTCCAGCAAAGTAATATGAGGAGGTGCCATTGTCTTGGAGAAAGCTGCAGTAGGGGGAAGAAACATGGGCTGGTGCAGTCATAGGGGCTGCCTTGCTGGAGCTCTTCATGGGTCAGGCGTGCCCCGTCAGTGAAGATGCTGTGGTATGGGCTCCCAAGGTACCTGGGACTGCCCTGTAGGCATCTGTGGCCACACTGGGTCCCTGGGAGAGGCCAGCAGACAAGGAGTGCTCAGTTGAACCAGCTTCTTCTGATTTGCAAAACCATCCTGCAGAAATTAGTTCCAGCAGTTCCCCTAGGGCTCAAGTCTTTTATGGGACAAAGTTGAACCTAGAGAAACAGCCATCACTGGTCACAGTTTACTACAAATGCTCTTGCACCAAACCCTGTGGGCACCATATGAGCTGGTTGCTGCCCAACCTCTTTGCTTGTCATCTGGGGGCTGCATCTTAGAGAGACGTAGGTCAGCAATCAGTGCAGTCAGCCCAGGATTGAGGATCTGCCTTTGGGTCAAGTTAGGGGTTCACTGTCCGGTAATGAGTAGTGGGTAATTTGTGGGATCCATGGAGGATGGACGGGCCTCCTCTCCTTGGGTAAACTTACTTGAGGTATGAATAAGGTACTTAGTGTTCTGGATTTTTTATTAGTCTAGGGTAGCAAGGACAGTTCTACAGAGGCAGTGGCAGAAGTATTTTCAGTTTCTCCTGGAGGCTCTGTCCAGGAAGGCACTAAGTTGCTTCTGGCTCAGTAGCTCTGGCAGTGATTGGCTACTGGCCTAGGCCTGGAGAACCTGCTCAGTGAGAATAGATGAGAACAGACACTCATGTAAGTCTGGCCACTTTTCTGAAGGGCTGCTGCAGTATGCTCGTTCTCCACTGCAGTTTCTAGTCACCTCAGATTTTCCAGTGCCTAAAGTCATCACCAGTGAATGCTGCAAGACAGCAACGGTGGCAGACTTCCCTTTTCTTTGGGAGCTCTATCCCAGAGAGGCATAGACGTGTTTCCAGCCTGAGAGCACCTGTAGGAGGTACTGGAAACCCCTGTACCTTACCCGTAAGAACATAACTGGGGACCCAGTTAAGAAAGCAGTCTAGCCCCATCTTTAAAGGACAGCACTGCTGTCCACCTTCAGTTTATTTGGATGCTCTAAAGCCAGAAGGTTGGAACAGCTAAGTCACACAAACAGCAAAAATGGCAGCTCACTCTTCCCTCTAGGAACTATATCCCAAAAGAGGTTTCCAGACTTCATCAACCAAAGAGCACCGTTGGTGGGAGCTAGAGACCGTGGTTGGGAAGTACTTTTCAGTGAGGAGGAACAGGACTGGGGACTTGCTTTAACAGACGGCCTGGTCATGTCTTTTTAGAGCACCTGTACTGTGCTGGGAGATCCCTTTCTGCCCCCAGCTTGGGCTCTTTAAAGCCTGAAGGCTGGAATGGCTAAGTTGCCCAAGCAGCAAAGATGGGTGGCCCACTTCTGTTTTTGGCAGTTCCATTTCAGGGAGGTGCAGTGCTGCTACCAATGGTTGACTGGAATTCTGAGCCAGTAGTTCACTGTGGAAGTGGGTCCCACAGACCGTCACTGCTCAGACCTCTGGTTCCCACCTCTTTCCTATGGATATGTACAGGGATGTAACCTGCTTTGTTGGAGTTGCAGCTACTTTTTCTGGGAAGCCAGAGTATCTAAGGCTCTTGAATCTCTGCACAGGCCTGAGCAGCTTCTTTGCTGAGACTCCATGAAGTTCTGTGTGTTAAACTGAAGGCCTTGGTGAAGTGGGTTCATGAGGGTATCTCCTCACTTGAGGGTTGCAAAGATCTGTGGGAGAATTATGGGTTCCCAGGGTCACACATGCACTCTCTACTTTACTGGGTGGGGAGGTTCTATTGGTTCCATGTTCCCAGGTGGCCCATCGTTCTGCCTTGCTTTACTCTACTCTCCATAAGTTAAGTTGTTTCCTTGATTAGTCCAAATGCAAGTACCTGGATGTTTTAGTTCAAGGTGCTGTATTTATGCACACCTTGCATTCCTCTCTATGAGAACTAGTCTAGCTGCTTCTAGTCAGCAATTTTGATCACTTTCTTGTAAAAGGAACCTACTTTTTATATTAAAAGAATTTAATACATTTTTAAAAGCAAATATTGATGTAATTTAACTCTTACATTTAATGCTATGTCTTCATTTCTAGAATTTATGTGAAAGAATATGGTCAATGGTTGCCGCATCAGAGTTAATGAGAGGTTCTTCTAGATTAAATGGACAAAGTTGTATACCTTTCCATGGAAGAGTAAGAAAACTGAAATCTAAGATACATGAAGAAATTATAAGTGGAAAGGCCACTTAGTGGTTGGTTTACTGCAGTATCATAAGTGAGGATGATAGGAGTGTGGTAAGTGATCAGGATAATATTCTGCATAGTAAGAGAAACAATTTGAATTTTAGAAGGAAATTTGCTTTACCATTTGCAAATTAAGGTAACTAAAATACAGTGAAGTTCCAAATGCCTTTTTAATCAATGTGTGAATTTAATTTTTCATAAACTAAAATTATTATTGTGTTAACACTATTTTACATTGAATGTGTACCTTGCCACTGATGTTAACTTATCCCAACTTACCCAAGATTGTAGATAACAGATGGTAACAATATACTATTGGGTGACAGTGGAATAACCTCTCTCCTGATTCGTCAGTGGTCTTTTACTTAAAATAATTTGGAAATATGGTTTCTACAACTTACATTTTTGTGTTTCTTGTAACTACAGGTGATTATGATGGTTGTAATGAAGATTATATGAGTAAAATGGAGCTGTGTGTTTCTGAGTTCTGAACACCCGTTTAGAAAATTTTATCTTTTTTTGTTGAACATATAACTTGTCTCCTAAACACAGACAGATTTTTAGTTTTGATTTACATGGATTTAAATAACAGATATATCACTGTAAAGTAAACTTTAGGTGTAACAGATTGATATAGAAGGCAATCATGTTTGTTTATAGTTGTGTGCCTACTTTGAGAAGAAAAAAATATTAGCATAAAACATAATTTTACAAGTGTTAATAACTTAGCAGCAAACCAGACACTTCAGATATTTTGAAAGCAAATCTATTAAGTTCATTTAACTGAAATGTTATTGCTCCTGGCTTAGAGTCATCTTGTGCAGATTCTCTTTTTTGTTGTTGCCTTTTTCTCACCATAGACATATAATTTTTTTTGTCTAATTTTATAAAACATTTTGTATAATCCCTCAGATTATGAAAGTGATAAAGTTTAATGATATTCACAAAATAATTTTCACACTTGAATAATTTCAGTGCATGTTATATTGTATGTTTTATATTTTCAATTAGAGAATGCTGTTTATTAGAGAATGCTGTTTAATCCAATTTTCATTTAGTTGTTTATAAAATTGACATAATTGAGTCTATTAAATTTATTAGATCAATTTATTCAAGTAAACAGTTGAATGTTTCAAAAGTCATTAGTTCTTCTTGGCATATATATGAAGTAAACAGAGACAGTATTAGCTATGTAATAGAAGCTACATAATTAGAAATACTGTTTTTGAAATTAATCTGTGGTCTCAGGTGAAAAATTGAAAATACCTATGGTAAAGAAATGAAATTAATTCTGCATATGAAGAGAGCATAACTGTACCTGTGCTGCATAGTTAACTCTCACAATTGAAACCAGACGAAGAGATGAACATTCCAGCAAGAGTAAGTGGAAACCTTGTAAAATTTTCAGATTGTTTTTCTACAATTAAACATGTACTGAGACAGGTAGAGAGCAAGGCTGTGCTGTGAAACCTGGAATTGCTGACACGTTAAGAGAGCGCACCACAGATACCGAAATGTAAAATTCCTTGAACTCTTTTAATTTAGAGTAACAAAATGTGGTTTTAGTCTTCCTGCTCTATATTCTGGCTTAGACAGAATTATCAAGCCATTTTCTAGATTTTTGTTTTGTAGATGGAATCTCTGTCACCTAGGCTGGAGTGCAGTGACACAATCTTGGCTTACTGCAACCTCCGCCTCCTAGGTTCAAGCAATTCTCCTGCCTCAGCAGACTTCAGGTGCCTGCCACCACACCCAGCTAATTTTTGTATTTTTAGTAGAGACAGGGTTGCACTGTGTTGGCTGGGATGGTCTTGATCTCCGAACCTTGTGATCCCACCCACCTTGGCCTTCCAAATTGCTAGAAATACAGACATAAGCCACTGCACCCAGCCTTGATTCTAGATACTGACACAGCCCATCTTCAACTTCTATACTGTCTCTGAGGTTAGAAAAGCTGGGTGATATGGAAGAACAAAACCAATCAATCATTTGTTATAACCCAAGGAGATTTTATTTCTGCCTGTTGTCCTGGGCTCTCAGAAGTGTAGCTGTGGCAGACATTACTGGAAGGTAGGTGGGAAACAAGCCTAAACAAAAATTTGGTGTGTGTCAAGACTGGATTCTTAGGAACTGGCAGGATCAGCCTTCAATTCTGGGTAGATTTTGGGTACTTGGGTGATATGTAAAGAGTGGTATGTTACATCAGGCCTTAAGAATACCCGGCTTCTGCCAGTAGTAAAACCCAGTAAGATTTGTATTTTTTTGGACTATAAATCAGCAGATATTAAAAATATAAATGATAGGCTTGTTCTGTATATTCTTAGTGATTCACAAGAACTGTTTGGCCTTATTTCTATAGTGAAGCAGATTCTGAATGCCTTAAAATCTGTTCAATATCAAACACTTAAAGATAAACAGGAAAATCAATGTTTTAGTTTTTATAGGTAATTCAGCCAGTATATTTATTTTTTCTCCTAAACTTTTGGCAACTATAAAAGCATGTTCATAATGTCTTGTTCATAGATACTGTGAACATCAATTGTGTTGATCTCTAAGATACTTGAGAATTACATTACCCAACATGTCCAGTACAAGGTTTTTAAGTTGCCTATTTGAAAATTCTGTCAAATTTGAATTGCGTACCTAGCTAAATTTTTTTAAGATTGAGGATAAGATGTAAAATAATTCCTACAAGTAATATAAACTAAGTTTACTTACTAAGAAATTTAATTACATTTGAAATAGATTACTTTCATTTGTTAATATTTGTGTCACATATGTATCTTTTAAGATTTTGCCTCTAAAACAGGTAACAATTTGAACAAAGAACAAAATGAAATTTAATGATTGGCATGAAAACAAATGGTTTGTATGATGCCCTAATTAAAATGATATAAAGCATAAAAATCTTAATTGTTTTTACACTATTTTGGGCAAAAGGAACCCTGTAATAGTAATGTGCAGAAAATACCATTACCTGTCTTCTTGAGACTCTTATGATTTTGCCACTTAGACTCCAGCACAGGCCTGGGTTCCCTATGTATTTCAGGAGAACATCTAATGGAAATGAAGCACAAGACTGTGGTGCAGGTTGCAGAAAGAGCAGGCTCTTCTTGGAAGTCCAGGAAGGGGCTATGGGCGCCATCCTAAAAAGTGGTCCTGGAGTTTCAGTGAGCCCTCCTGCCGGCAGGGGTCCACTGGTTCTTGGGGGAGGCCAGCCTAGTTGCTCTGTCCTGTCCCTCGCCCTTGAGTCCTGCCTCACCTGCTATCTTTTTTACAAAGAAAGCAGATGGCACCCCCCTCCCCCAATGCAGCCCCACTAGAGGAAGGAGATCAAGAGAGTCAAGGCCCAAGCCCATCTTGGCACATTAAGTTACTGATGAATAGTTAATAAGTTAGAGCAGAATGTGCTGCTGTAACCTCCTGAGATCACATTCTAGGAGGAGACCTGAGTGGCCCCTGCCTGAGGCTTTGCACTGGAGGAAGGATGGACAGGACACCAGGGCTTCAGTGAGCATGTACCCCTAGCCAACCTGGAGAGACATGGGCTTGGCAAGAGGAAGCAGTAAGAGTGGCTTACAGCAGACAGGCTGAGCTGTCAGATGGACACAGAGGGGTAGGAATGAAGAGTCCCTGAGGGGTGAACCCTCTCAGGACCCTGAACTCAGTCCAGAGATCCCCAGCCTTTTGAAGCACAGGCTTGTACCTGGAGCTGCAGGGTGGGTGCTGTACAGTAGCCTGGTAAAAGTGGGGTGAGCCGTCACTGAAGGGCTTCCATGGCCCATTTTTTTTTCTTTTTGTGAGCAAATTGAGCCCCCAGAGCCCCAAGCCAAGAAGGGCAAAGCACTGGCCTTAAGCATCACCTTTTTCTTCACTGGCTTCCATAAGCCTCAGACCTCCCTGAGCTTGCCTTGTGGAAGATCCCTCTCTTGAGAGTGTAGGCACAGAAGCAACCAGTCTTGTGTGGGAACCCCACCCACAATCACTTTGGTGGGCCCACCTGCGTCTCCTCACTCCACTGGCCTGTGAAACCCAGCTGGAATTCCAGAATCCAGAATGCACATTTGGTTCTAGAACGAGACTTCAGCACCCAAGCAGAGCTGAAGTGGGCCAGTTAATTCCATGGCACAAGGTCCAAATTAGAGAACGGACTTGACTGTTCAGCTGCAGCCAGGCAGTGTGTGTACTGTCCCAAGCAGGCCCCATTCTCTTCCTGCCTCAAATTATTTCACCTGCAGCTTGTCATTTGTGCCAGCTCTTTCTCTAGCCCACACATCCTGTGGTTTTTGAGATTCCTCTGAAGACTGCCTGAGCCAAGCATTAAGGGTCACAATGCTCTAGTCTACTCAGGTGGTGCCAGGACGAGAGCTTTCTCAACCTACCTTGACACTTAAGAGTTATGTCTAAATAATACCAGTTCTAGGTGGAGGGCTGTCATACTCAGAGTCTTCTCTGGTCTCCATGCCAAAAGATATGTTAAAATGACAAGGAAAATAAGACACAGACCTGGCAGTTCTGTCTTTTAAAGGGCAGCCTGGTCACCTTGAACCACAATTTCAGGGTGTGGTTCTGCATGTTCCACCTTGGAAAATAGTGAACCTGGGGTCCCAGGATATCATGGTCCAGTGAAAATCTGGAGAACGGGCATCTCAGCAGCCTGTACACACCCAGTCACACCTGGAACAGGAACAGGCCCTACCAACTAAGAAGCCATCTCATTACCCAAGACCACTGTACCAGCAATGGGCACACATATCAGGCCCTTTAGATAGACTGTCAACAATTCAAGAAAAAGCAAAACCTTTTAAAATCTACTGTTCCAGGAAGAACCTCCACTTCCAAGCTAAAACAATCTAGTAGTGGCCAACCTGGAGGTTATTCTTTTTCTGTGGGCAATATCTGAGATCCCGGTCTGTCCCATTCTGTGGTACGGGACACAGGCCACACGGGATTGTTAAAGGAAGGCCGACAGGTGAAAGGTTCAGAAAACAAGTGCTAAATTAAATGCTATACAAACTGCATGCTTTTTGCAAGTGGACGTGGTTGTCCTGCTAACCCCACTGACACTGGACTTTCTCTACTCTATGTCAGTTCCCAGTAGAACTCACTATCTCATTCACTGGATCTTAGTCTGTTTTTGACATCTTTAACCTGGTACCATTTTCTTGGAAATTGAATTTGACACAACTTACCTCATAGTGAGGAAGGATTTCAGGTTCTGCTCAGTATGCTTCAAAACTCACCAAGGCATTAGCTATAGAAAGATACAGTTGTTCTCTTTACCACTCTTCATCCAGGCCTCTTCCTTAGATGTAAAATCAATGAAATACTAAAAAAGATGAACAAGAAATACATTGTTTTCAGAAGCAAGATGAATGCCAGAATAGGCAGTGACCACTTGGAAAGCAAAAGGTAGCATTCTCCTGTGTGCAGCCCTCAACTTCTGTCATCGCTTTCCGGCTTCAGTAATAGGTTTTGAGCTCCATCCTGCCTCTGCAGAAACCATGGGCCCTGGGAGGTAAACATCTTCACTTAATCCTGGTGCTTGCTTTCTCTTGACAAATATGACCTCCGTGATCGTGAGCTTCTAAGCAAACTGGACAACACACAACCAGAAAACCTATGAAAGGGCTATGAGTAGGTCTGAGGAAAACAATTTCCCAGTTTTTCCCTCAGCAAGTTCAAACAACTGTGGTGGTAGACAAATGTGCGGAAGAGGACAGCGTGCTGTAGCTCCTCCTCGTGTGAGTTTACCACCAAGAGTTTTTAATCCTGGCTGTGAGAACTCCAAGTTAAAATCCGAAGTGGTTTCACCTTGTATCTATTAATGATTGATTGCACAACATTTTGTCTATCATACTGAGTTGTCTTCACTGAGGATTTTCCCATTGAACTTGATAAAGACTAGAAAAGGAAAATAGCAACTCCATGAAATCATTAAACAAAGTGGAGAAATGTTCATCCCACATCATTAGCGTTTTTGCACATATTTGCGTGTATATCTACCCATAAAACTGATACTTTTACAATTATATGTCAAGCTTGAAAACATACATACTTTTTGGCCTCACATGGTGGCTCACACCTGTAATCCCAGCACTTTGGAAGACTGAGGCAGGCGGATCGCTTGAGGTCAGGAATTCAAAACCAGCCTGGACAACATGGTGAAACCCTACTAAAAATGGAGGGAAAAAAGCTGCACGTGGTGGTGGGTACCTGTAATTCCAGCTACTTGGGAGGCTGAGGCAGGAGAACCACTTGAACCAGGAGCCAGAGGTTGCACTGAGCTGATTCTGTGCCATTGCACTGCAGCCTAGGTGACACAGCAAGATACTGTCAAAAACGAGTATTTTTTCTGTTTCAACAACAAAAGGACATGTGGTCCAGACATGCCCTGATGGAGTGAAGTGGCTGTGGAGTTTGCCCTGGGAAAGAAGAGTCGGCGTCCTGGATTATGTGTGGGGAATCCATCGGGATACAAAAAGGCAGTCAGGACCTTGGCCTAGCAACACAGAGGCTTGCAGGGGCCTTCTGAAAGCAGCAGAAATGGCCCAGGACGCTGAATTCTAGATGGGCCTGTAATCTTAGCAGTCCTGCTAGGAGGCCCTGACAATACCCTGGATTGGAGACTCCCTGAGTTAGAGTGGCTGCCAGAGAGCCTCAACAAACAGGAGTCTTGATCACTATGGCCGGGCCAGTTTAAAATAGCTCATCTCTTCTGTTTTCCAAAACAATATATAGAAAAATAAAGTAAAAAAAATAAAATTTAAAAATAAACTTAAATTGAAAAATAAGGATAAACAAAATAGAAAACAAGGAGAAATGTAATTAATATCAGATAATACAGTAGAATTAAGAGAAAATAATTTACAATAAAGTAAGTTAAAATTTTAAGAATAAGGAGAAAATAAAAGTGGAGAAAAAATATGAAGGGATATGAATGAAAAAAATGTTACAAACAAAATACAAATTGGGGAACATTTGACATGAGAATTTAATAAGAAAAACTAGAAATTAATAAAAAAATGAGTGCAAATTAAAAAGAATGACAAATATACAGAGAAATAAAAGGGTAATCTACAAAACATTTCATCCAGCAATAGCATAATAGATAATATTTGTAATTACATATGGCATGTTTTCTTTTTTTGTGGAGATGTGGTTTCACCATGTTGGCCAGGATGGTCAGTCTCAATTTCTAGACCTCGTGATCTGCCTGCCTCAGCCTCCCAAAGTGCTGGGATTGCAGGTGTGAGCCACTGTGCCCAGCTTACATATGGCACTTTCTCTAAGATAGGCAAATTACTAAGCTAGGTTGCAAGTTTTAGCATAAACAGATGGTATTCACAAAAGTATTTCTGACTACAATAAAATATAAGTTAAAAACCAGAAGAAAACTAGCATTTCTGCTTATATGTGACAACTGGACAGATTCTTTAGATGTTAATGGTATTCAAAATGATCTACAGATCAATGAGATCTCTTTTTTTATTTTTTTGAGACGGAGTTTCGCTCTTGTTACCCAGGCTGGAGTGCAATGGCACGATCTCGGCTCACCACAACCTCCGTCTCCCGGGTTCAGGCAATTCTCCTGCCTCAGCCTCCTGAGTAGCTGGGATTACAGGCACACGCCACCACGCCCAGCTAATTTTTTGTATTTTTAGTAGAGACGGGGTTTCACCATGTTGACCAGGATGGTCTCGATCTCTTGACCTCGTGATCCACCCGCCTCAGCCTCCCAAAGTGCTGGGATGACAGGCTTGAGCCACCGTACCCGGCCCAGAATCTCTTTAAAAAAGCCAATGGTACTTTTTGCAGCAGTACTAAAATATGCTAAATGTTTGAGTTAATATTTAGCTGTGTCACCCAGGCTGGAGTACAGTGTCATAATTATGGCTCACTGTAGCTTTGACCTTTCAAGCTCAGTTAGTTGATCCTCCCACCTCAAACTCCCAAGTAGATGGAACTGCAGGTCTATGCCACCATACTCAGCAAGTTTTTATATTTTTTGTAGATACGGGTTTCACCATATTGCCCAGGCTGGTCTCTAACTTCTGTGCTCAAGCAATCCACTTCCCAAAGTTCTGGGATTACAGAAGTGAGGCACCAAATACTGCCCTATGATTTTTATAAACACTCGAAAACCACAAGTAGCCAAACAACCTGGTGTGGGGGGGGGGGAACCCCAGAGCTATCATTTTTATCTCAAAACATGTTGCAAAGTTACAGTAATCAAAACAGTGAGATGCTAGTATAAAGACAAAAATAAATGTTCAAACAGATAAGAGGAACCAGAAAGAAACCCACATGCATATACTCAGCTTAAACGAGGGTTCCAAATGCTCACGTTGCAGAGCTTTCTCTTCAGCAAAATTGGGTTCTTTTCACATGACTAGAAAGATGAGGCTCAGGGACACTCTGTAGAATGAGTAGAGTTGATTCAATTAAAAAAAATCTCAGCAAAGTGAGTTGGAGTCCTGTTTACAGGCCCCCACCTCCCAGACTGATAACAGAGCATCTCAAAGGAACTGAAGAGGCCAGGCCATGGCTCCACGCCCTTCCCCCAGTTTTCAGGTGCACATTGTTCAGAATCAGATGGGAAAAGGCAGACTTCATGGGGGACCAGCAGTCTGATTTTTCAGCCTTCAGGCTGTTTAAGACTTGAAGGCGGGGTTTCGCCCAGGACCCTTAGCTGTTGCCTCACTCTGTTATTTCCCCCTGTAAAGAAGCACATCTAACTGCTGTAAGGATAAGGATGAGAACCAAACCTACTTTTACATGCCTCTTGCTGACGGGACACTTTTGGAAAAACGGCAGTCAGATCTCCCTAAGGGGCCACTGTCCGAGGCTCTGGTTGTGTGACTGTTTGAAGTTCGGTAGCTTGAAAGTAAGAAGAATCAAACGGGTTATTAAAAAATATGTATTAAAACGAAACAAGGGGAAGGTAGCAAGGACAGCTCAAAAGTTCCAAGGCATTTTACCCGTGTGCATAGGGAGAGGGAGGCCGAAAGCACAATTGGTATAAAAACAGCAACAGCAACTTTTATCCTTTTGCCAGCACATTGGCCTTCCGGGTTCTTCTCCTCTGAGTTCAATCCTAAGCCAACCAGCCTAAGGTTGGGAAATTAACTCTTCCAACCTTGGAGGATGCATCCAAGGGGAGTATCTTATAGTATGGAGACATGATCAGCTATCTGTAGAGAGAGAACAGAGGAGAAAAAAGGAAAAAAGCATTTTTTTCAAACAAGTCCCAAGAGTTCAGAATGCATTTGAAAGGGATATAGACTGAAGATGAATGGCTACTCACCTAGAGAGAGGGGAGCAGGTATCCTTGGCTTCTTTCTCTTCCTAGCAAATACCCAGGCTATGTTGACAGATAGAAGGAAGAATGTTTTCTTCTTTCCATCCTTGTATCCCCGAGTCCCAGTGACTGTGACAGGGTGCCACCCATGTTAACAGGGAGGCCTGATGGGGAGCAGAAATACCTGCTTTTACCCACATATGCGCTATCTCCCCTGCTGTCACTAGGAGGTCAATAGACCTCATTTATTCTATGGATACTCCCATGGTCTTTATCCATGAGATGGGAGGCTTGGCTTAATCAGCTGGAATTAGTCATGCCCACCTGCATTGTGCCTTTTCACCTTCATCATCATCTGCCTCCGGATTTCTCAGATTCAGTATTATTTTCTAGGGCTTCAAACTAAAGCTTGGAATTGGGGTTGGGACAAAAATGTGTCTCGGGATTGCATGGACTTCTTATGAGCTGAATGCTAAGATGAAGCTGTGGAAGTGGTCCTCTTTCCACAGGGAGAGAAAAGAATGTCTGTGACCCACCTAGATACCTAGTGGCTGTAGTTATGCTTGCTAAGATTTGGGTGGGCACCTTATTCCCATCGCTTTGCAGAATTTGCAGGATAATTGCCCAGAACTAGAATATTAATCTAGATTTTTACATTACCCATCTGTTTTTATTCTGAGCTGCAGTTGAAGATGGCTACTTGGTTTACAGGAATAAGCAGGGTTGGTCTAAAATGAAGGCAAAAACTCTAATGAGTTTGGAATTTAATGAGATGTATAGGAAGTTTTGAGACAATCCAGTCTTCTTTTTTGTTAAAAACAAATCATGATAGGACTGACTTGTTTGTGAGGGAAACTTGTCTTACATGGCCTGACTACTTGCATGAAGTGCAGCAAGAATAATTCTTTCTACATAGGTCTTTTACATTGGCTTTGAAGGAACTCTGTTCCACAAGAAATTGCAGGTGGGACTTTCTCAAGTCCAGCCACGGGTTTGTACCATCAGATACTTGTAAGTTGGGCCATTCTCTCCTCTTATGATCCCAAGATAAACTTGGAGCTCCTGGGCCTGTCAGAAAGTGTTATTCTTTACTTACCACAGATCAGAAACCCTGCACAAGTGTGTCGATGAGGTATGAAGCCAGTTTTTCCAAGGGGCATAGATTGGCTCTGCAAGTTGAGCTTGACTCCTTAAAGGGAAGCATAGCTTTTCAGTCGGTGCCTTGCTAAAACACCAGCTTCTCCAACTGTTCTGTTGCAAAATAAGAAAAGGATTACTATTGCACAGATGCAGACAGCTGTATTATCATAAGATAAGGATACTCGTAACTGTTGTTCAGTTTCTAGAGAAGCCAGGCAGAGAGACAAACATGCTCCAAATTTTGTACACAGGAGTACGCCTTACTCAAATATTAAAGGTTGTAAATAGCTCAAAATAGGTTTCCTTGACTCTGGTAATATCTGATTACAAGAATCAGTCATGTTACAAGCAAAAGTCAGAACGATTACTTCAGTTTTCTGTTAGTCCAGTCCATTCCGTTAACTCTTGCTTTGTTTGATATTTATGAACATTTTAAATCTTCATGAGCCCTGTATGTTTTTCCTATCAGAAGCTATCAGAAGCCTGAATTTGAGAGTACTTGTTAAAGTTCTATTACTGAATAAAAGCCATTATTTGAAAAAAATCAAAACAAGACAGCAATTGTCTGTGCATAAAATGTTCAGAGTAGTTACAGTCAGAAACATGATTGACAAAAATTTTTGGTTATTTCTGCGGTTTACAATAACTTAACCTTAATTGTGGTTGAAAGCATATACTTCAGACATTAGAATTTTAGAAAGTTCATGTAGTTTTTGAACATGTATTAGTATTATTAACCAAAGTATCTAAGGAATAGTGAACACCATTTTGGCAATTCCATGTAACTAAACGTGATAAAATTCTGTTTACCTTTTTTGTGGATACTCCAAGAGTCTTCTTTAGCATCCAAAAGCCAGAAATGAAGATAATTTTGTCACTAGTTTGATTTTGAGAAGAATGTTACATATTAGGGGTTTAAATCACTTGATATTATAAAGTTTCAGATTACCATAAATTACTTATTTAACGAAAATGATTGTTCGGAAATGGAGAAGGCAAAAACTTGTATAATTTACTAATTTTGCTAAAGAACAGATTTGTGCCTTAATACCTTGTTGTGCTTTTATTTCAATGCTCAATTTACAAAAAAGCCATATGATACCCTTTTGAATGTAATTAATGCTCACACACAGAATTTCTTTGGCAAGACTTATTTTTACAGTCCTTCCACAACTTATTAAACTTTTAGCTTTATCTTATCTAATTCAAAAAAATTGTTTGACCCTAGGCAAGGATGTATATTTCCATGCCTTCTTATAGTCTTTTATTAAAAACACATTTTACTCCTTACACACCTCATCTGTAAATCTACTTCCAGTGGTTTCAATGACATGTTATAATGGTAACTTCTAGCAATTTTAACTTTAAAGTCAAACCAGGTACGTTGTTTTAATTATGTGCTAGGTGCAGCCACGGGTTTGACTCCTTTCAGCATAATTGAGGGTGTGGTTTATTCTATATGTTCTCAGGCCTTACCAATTGTGAAGCAAAGTAGAAATGTTCTCAAAAACAAACAAAAAGCAGTCTGTAACCTTAAAACATTTAGCAAACCTAGTGTCTGACCTGCATAATTTAATCCACGTACTCATATATTGAAGACATTCATATTTTACCAGTTATCTTTAAAGCTGTTTTTATTTCTCAAAGATTAAAGTTATGTGAACTAAAACAGCTTTCATCTTCCCTTCAGAAGATATTTTATCCAAGTGCTTACCGTTCTTTAAGTAATTTTTTTTTTTTTTTTTTTGAGACGGAGTTTCGCTCTTGTTACCCAGGCTGGAGTGCAATGGTGCCATCTCCACTCACCGCAACCTCCGCCTCCTGGGCTCAGGCAATTCTCCTGCCTCAGCCTCCTGAGTAGCTGGGATTACAGGCATGCGCCACCATGCCCAGCTAATTTTTGTATTTTTAGTAGAGACGGGGTTTCACCATGTTGACCAGGACGGTCTCGATCTCTTGACCTCGTGATCCACCCGCCTTGGCCTCCCAAAGTGCTGGGATTACAGGCGTGAGCCACCGCGCCCGGCCAAGTAATTTTTTTAGAGCTCATTTTTTATAGACACCACACACAAAACACTTATATAATTATGCAGGCAGAAGAAAACCCAGTAGCCGTAAGATTTTTTTAATTGCCATTTCCTGATTGAATTACTGGCCTCTCATGCATACATTAGAGTGACAAGACAACACGAAGCAAAAGAACTCGGTTGAGAAAAAACTTTTCCCAGCAAAAGAAGATCCCAGAAGAGAAAAACATAATATAAAGGTCTTTTAAATATTCCTATAAGTTGGATATCCACTTTTAATTAAGTCGAGCATTCTTTAAGAAAATCCTTTTAAATTCTATACTACCTGACGCTAGCAGTACAAGCAGCCAATATTTTTGGCTTTCAGACTTTACCAAAGATAACTTATCAGGTTCTCAGAGGAAAAATTAAAAGTCAGTTTGTGAAGGGGAAGAGAATCAGCAAAGGGCAATGGTTATGCGCTGATACGAAACCAGAAGGGACTCATTCCCAAAGCCAGGATTAGACCTACGACACCATTGTAAGATGGCAGAGGCCAAAACAACACATTGCCATGTGGTTACAGGTCATGCTCCTAAAAACTAAAAAGATGGAGGTCTGCAGCAACATTTCTTACCAATCAGAGAATGACATGCAAAGCCTGCCAGACTGGCCACAGCTCAAGACCAACCTCACAAATACACTTTCACAATTAAAACTCTACGAAAAAACATAAGCAGTGATTGTTGGGGTCCTAGCCCAGCAAAACATTTTCTAAGAAAAAAAATTCTTTTGCTTAAAAGTAAATGGCCGACAGAATGAGAATAAATTTAAAAAAGGCTTATGTGTAGGGTAGGGAAGAAAATATTTATTCTTATGCAAATGGGTTTCTTCAACAGAGAGAAAAACTTAATTGCTGTTGGATGAGACTTGATTCCTTGGCTGGTGAAGGTGAAGGCACCATGGATGCCTGACATTTTCCAGCCCAGAGATGAGAATGAGGAGCCACCATTCAGCTGTCCATCCCATATGTCCCTGAGGCTGTGGTGTGGGGCGGTACAGTTTCCTCTGCCCTCGGGAGAGGTCCAGGGATGAAAAGCCTTACAAACAAAAGAGAAAATAATGTTTTGGTTTACATTTTACCCTTCCTCAAGCTCCACATCTAGACACCGAAATGTTACAGAACTTTCTCCTTCATTCAGCTAAAACCAGCATCTTGTCACATGACCAGGAATGAATAGGCTAATAGACATACTGAATAGTCAAGAGTAAAGTTTATTGGACAAAAAGAAAAAAAAAAACCTCAGCACAGTGAAAGTGACTCGTTAACAGGCCCCTACCTCACAGATTAATGAACACCAGGTCACCACATAGCAACTGAAGAGTCCAGGCTCGAAATGTGTGAACTTCCATGGCTCCACCTCCTTTACCAAGTGAACAGGTGGGCATTATTCAGAAAGAAACCGGAAAGGGGGAGCTTCATCTGAAACCAGCAGTCCAGTTTTTCAGCCTTCAGGCCATTTTAGACTTGAAGGCGGAGTTTTGCCCATGACCCTGGACTGTCTCCTGTCTCCATCACTCAAAATGAGAAAAGAACAGTCTCTTTAACAAATGGGCTGGAGAATACTGAATGTTCAAATGATAAAAAAGTAAAGTTAAATCTTACCACAAGCATGAACTTAAAATGAAGTGAGACATACTTTTTGTAGCTGTTATAATTTTTTCTTGAATTTTTTCAGATGGCTTATTCTTAGCATATAAAAATGCTCCTGCTAGTTTTTGCATGTTAATTTGGTATTCTGCCACTTTATTGAATTTCTTTATCGAGGCATTTATGTGATCTGCACGCAGAGATAATTTGACTTTCTCCTTTTTTATTTGGATGTCTTTATATTTCTGTTGCATAAATGATCTGGCTGGGACTTCCAGTCCTCTGTTGAATAAAAGTGGTTAAAGGACACATCATTGTCTTGTTTCCGATCTTAAGTAAATAGCTTTCTTTTGTTGTTGTTCAGTGTGATACCAGCTATTGTCATATTTTACCTTAGCTGTGTTGAGGTGCATATCATCTACACCTGATGGGACTCTTCCCAGGGTTATGTTTCAAGGAGAGCATTATGGCATATCAGTTGTTTTAAGCACAAAGGCATGTTAAAATATGGCAAATACTTGTTCTGCATCTAGAATGAAAAATAAAGGTGTCTAGCAGTAAACTTAATTAAACAGACAAATACTCTCTACACTGTAAATTATAAAACGATTAAAATACTAAAAAACAATATTTGAGAGAGACTTTTGTTCTTGAGTTATAAAAAATATTGGTAAAATGGCTATGCTACTGAAGTCGATCTACAGAGTCAACGTGAAGTCCACAAAAACACTTTTTTCACAGAAATAGAAACAACAGTCCTAAAATTTAGAGGGAACCAAAAAATCACCCCAAATAGCCAAAATAAACCTGTAAGAAAAGAACAAAGCTGAAAGCATCAAACTACTTGACTTCAAAATATGCGGCAAAGCTATAACAAGCAAAACTGCTTGATACTGACATAGAAAACAGACACATAGACTGACGTATGCAGTGATCCCAGTAATAAATTCATAAACCTATAGCCAAGTAATTCTTAAGTTGTTTAGAATACATTTTTTTTAATCGCATTTTAGTTTTTGGGGTACATGTGAAGAACATAGGTACAAACATGGCAGTGTGATTTGCTGCCTTCCTTCCCTTCACCTATATCTTATCTGGCATTTCTCCCCATGCTCTCTCTCCCCAACTCCCCACCCACTGTCCCTCCCCTATTTTCCCCCAACAGACTCCAGTGTGTGATGCTCCCCTCCCTGTGTCCATGTGTTCTCATTGTTCAACATCTGCCTTTAAGTGAGAACATGTGGTGTTTGATTTTCTGTTCTTGTGTCAGTTTCTTGAGAATGATGGTTTCCAGTTTCATCCATGTCCTTACAAAGGACATGAACTCATCGTTTTTGATGGCTGCATAATATTCCATGGTGTATATATGCTACAGAACATACATTTTTTTTTTCAAGACAATATTTTAAATGAATGGTGCTGAGAAAATTGATTATTTGAATGCAGAGGAATACAGCTAGGTGCCTACCTGCTATCATACTAAAACAACTTAATTAAAAATAAATAGATTTAAATATAAAACTCAAACTTATAAAACTATTTCAATAAAACAGAAATTATCAAATAGGACAGGAAAATAAATATTAAATAAGACCTCAAAAGCACAGGCAACAAAAGCAAAAGCAGACAAGTGAAACTACCAGAATCTTAAAAAAAAAAATTACATAGCAAAAATAAATTAACAGAGTGAAGAGACAATTTACAGTGTGGGAAAATATATTTGCAAAATATACATATGATAAGGGATAAACAATGTATAACAAACAATAAAAAATGACAATTTAGTAATAGGCAAGAGACTTTAAGTGACATTTATCCAAAAAAGACATACAAGTGGTCAAGTACATGCAAAGATGCTCAACATTAATTATTAGAAAAATGCAAATCAACAAGAAAGCACCAAACCACTCCAGTTAAAATGACTATAATCAGAAATGGTATGACACCCTTGCTGGCCCTTTCAATAGGAGGGATTTTGACATATCTCTGGGCATATCGTTTAGGTGATATGACTCTCCTCTTCTGCCTGGACACTGGCCACATAGGACATTGTGCCATACATGTGGGCAAAGCCTTCCAGTTATGCAACCTTTCTGCCAGAAACTTGCCTACGAGGAGAATATTAGAGTGTTTCTGCCTCGGCATTTAGGTCATATGGCTGTCATGCCTGTTTCATTACCACAGAGTAAAATTTGAGATCTATCTAGGCACAGCTTAAGCCATGATAATGACTCATATGTGGACCCCACAACTAAGACTAACTTTGACTCTTGTAACTTGCTTTAGAAACACGAGTGATGTCTTGGATCTCCTTCTGGTTAAAAAATTAAAGATTATAAGAGCCTCAGATATTTTATAAAGCCCTTGTCTTGTACAGAGAGTGTCAGAACCCAACAGAATGGTGAAATTGTGACTCTTGTAGGCACACCCAGCTGACAGTAAAGGCTGTCACCATCTCACATATATAAAGCCAACTGTCACATATGAAAACAGGACAGGTTTGGTATTGTAAATCTCATTTCTGGAATATTCTGTCAGTGTGATGGCGATATAAATCTTGCTGAGCACGTGTGTGATTTGCTGCTCCAGATTGGTTCCAGCTCACATATGGAATTGTAATCTTGACCTGGGCCAACCTCTAGGTGATGTGACCCTCCTGCCTTGGCCCTTTTTTCAGTAAGAATTGTGACATTTCACTGGATCAAACACGCAGGTGATAATGCCCACAGACATTATTGTGACATATCACTGTGTCCACCACTTAGGTGCTGTAACTCTCCTTTCTGGAATGGGCCTTGAACACGGCGTGGTAGTGACATATGGCTTGGCCAGGCACACAGGTGATGGTAATCTTTAGCCAGGACTATGTTTCAAGGAGGGAATTGTGACATGTCTCTAGGCTTACAACCTAGGTGATGTGACTCAATGCTTGGTCACCCATATAGAGCACTGTGACATAAATGTCACAAGTGTGATGTAACCAAGGCTGATGTAACTCTTTCACCTTGGTTCTGTCATAAGGGAGCCTTGCAACATATCTCAGGACCTAGCATCCAGGTGATGCGGCTCTTCTGCCTGGTTTCTGCCCATCTGTTATATTGTGATATAAAACATATACCTGAAGAAGCATGTAGATGATACAACCCTCGTTTTCTACCCGAGTCCAGCTGACTGGGGACATTGGGACATATCTCTGAGACCATGACCTAAGTGATAGGACTCTCTTCCCCTGCCTGGGCCTTTAAAATGGTAGGATTTTGAGCCCGGCGTTTTGGTCATGTGACTCTACTTTTTTTCTGAACCAAGCCTACAAAACTTTTTGCCCTCTTGGAGCCAGATGATGTTACTCTTCTGCCTGAGTCCTCAATAACGAGGGAATTATTGCATACTCGTGGGCCCAGCACCCTGATGATGCTACTCTTCTGCCTGTGCCATAGCCACAGAGAGTATTTTGACATATTTTTGGCCCATTCTGTGGGTGTTTTGACTCTCATCTCGTCTAAGTTTTTTCACCTGTGGAATTTTGTCATATTGCCGGGTCCAGCACCCAGTTAATGTGACCCTCCTTTCTAGGTTCTGCCTAGAGATGGCATTGTGACATTTTGCTTGCCACATCAACTAAGTGATGTTAATCTTTGCTCTAATTTTTTTGCCCACAAATGGGATTATGACATATACCTTACTTTAGTTCACAGGCATGATGATCAAACTTATGTTGGGATTCGGCCAATAGAAGATATTTTGCCTCTCATCCCTAGGCTTTGGGCAATAGGTAAAATCCTGGGTCGCATATTTGTACAAAGCTCACAAAAGTTTACAACACAAACTCATATTGTATAAATTCCCTGGGTGGTACAGAGTTTCATAAAAAGGCCCATCAAAAAGTTAAGATTATGACTCTCAATTACACCTAGGTGAAATTAGAAGTTGTCAGCAACCCACATTTGCAAAGTCCACTGTTGAGGTACTGAGGCTAACAAATGAAAGGAGTATAAAGATGGAATTATGACGCTCATATGTAGATCTGGCCACCGGTGCGATTGCGACCCATTTTTCAAACCAGCTCACAGGCATAAAAATGGGCCTCCCTCCTGAACTTAGTCTATATGAGAGATGTTGACTATCATACCAGGCTTTAAGGAAATATATAAGATTGTAAGTCCATATGAGCATGTGGGCCTCAGAGTAGTTTGCAACTCTCATGCATGCTGTATAAAGCCCTCAGATGTTGTAGAGGGTGTCATATGATAGCCCAGCCCAGATGTGACACTGATTCTCACAGGCACACCAAGCTAACAGATACAGGTGTCACCCTCAAAGATGAGGGGACTGTGTGACATCACTCGGCCTAGTACCCAGGCGTTAAAACTTTTGCTTAAATTATTTCTCATATGTGTATTGTGACATATCGTTGGGTCAGAATCATTTTTGTTTTCTGAGAGAGTTTCACTCTTGTTGCCCAGGCTGGTGTGCAATGGGGTGATCTCAGCTCACTGCAACCTCCACCTCCTGGGTTCAAGCGATTCTCCTGCTTCAGCCTCCCAAGTAGCTGGGATTACAGGTATGCACCACCATGCTCAGTTAATTTTTTGTATTTTTAGTAGAGATGAGGTTTCTCCGTATTTGTCAGGCCGGTCTGGAACTCCTGACCTCAAGTGATCCCCCTATCTTCGTCTCCCAAAGTGCTGGGATTACAGGTATGAGCCCCCGCCACAGCCCAGGTTCTATAATACGAGGAGTAATATCATCCTCTCCCTACCTGGATATAAGGAACAATATCACAGGGAGGGTGCACACTTTCTGCAATGCTGGGAGTAATATCATCCTCTCCCTCCTGGTTATTACAAAGAATATCTCATGGGGGTGTACACCCCTTGCGATATTTGGAGTAACAGAATCCTATCCTGCCGTAGATATTAGGAAGAATATCACAGGTGGGGTGTACACCCCTTGCAATATTTGGAGTAACAGAATCCTATCCTGCCGTAGATATTAGGAAGAATATCACAGGTGGGGTGTACACACCTTGAGATATTTGGAGTAACAGAATCCTATCCTGCCGTAGATATTAGGAAGAATATCACAGGTGGGGTGTACACACCTTGAGATATTTGGAGTAACAGAATCCTATCCTGCCGTAGATATTAGGAAGAATATTACAGGTGGGGTGTACACCCCTGCGATATTTGGAGTAATGTAATCCTATCCTGCCGTAGATATTAGGAAGAATATCACAGGTGGGGTGTACACCCCTTGAGATATTTGGAGTAACGTAATCCTATCCTGCCGTAGATATTAGGAAGAATATC